TGACGACGATCCCAGGACGTACTATCGAAATTAGACAATGCATGATACCAAAAACAGCCATAACTATCCTAATGGAATTCGATGCTCTATTCGGAAAGGTTGTGCGAGTTGAGGGAACGTCGCGCCTATTGCCGCATGCGACGAAGGGACAGATTACAATTCTCTTGACCGTCTTTCGTTGGCTTGAACCTTGACTGCATTTTATTGTGTTCTGTAAGGGAGTAGTACCGTTAGTTGGTAATCGGAGAGGAGTTGAGCAATGTTTGGCTTTCAGGAATCGCTAGGCTATGAGGTCTACTTCTTAATTCATTGGAATCTCTTTTCCTGAAGTTCTTGGCGTGCTGAGTGTTCTGCCAGTCCTGCTGCGAAAAGGACTGCTGCCCTTCCCTGAAAAGTAATCCCGCATGTTTGGAGAGCTGAATACGAAGCCGACGTGCGAAGTTGGCATTGTGACTGCTTTGTCTTTACCAGAAATACGCCGACGTATCTGGTCCAGATTAGAATGTTTGCTGGTTTGTGCGTTCATTACCACCGCCGGAGGATCAGAAAATCTGCGAAATAGGCTAGCCATGAATGACCTTATCAATTCCCCTTTTGATCAATTCAATCCGTATTTTACCCATTTTGTTGATTCTCCAATACCCAAGTTTCTGAAGTCTTAGTTTCTCCAACAGTGCTGCGTATGAACACAGCCTCACTAACTTACTCCAGTTTCCTTTCCAAATGTTTAGTGAACTGTACGCAAAAGTGCATCTACACATTGCGTCGGCGTTTTAAGTGTACCCCACCGTTTTCAGCTACTAAGAAGATATAGGTGTCAGTCTAGCGTTTCTTCTGATCTCCTTTTCCTCCATTCTATGAAAAAGATAACGGTTCCTAGTCGCAGAACAAAAGTCTGGACGGTTGTATATGCCCTGTCGCTCAGAACTCTAGATTGATACCTATACTTTGTTAGTCGCTGGAAACACTGGTGCGCTCTCAAACCTCACGCAAAGTATGAGTTTTAGTTCTAACTCTCTTCGTTGGAAAACATCTCCGTACTAAGCCGCGTAGTGCGTAAAAGGGTGGGAGTATAGCGTTTGCGCATCAGATTGCTATGAGTTATCCTGTTCGCTGTGAAAAATCGTTTCTGATGAACGACATAGTTATGTTGACGCAAAGAGATCACCCACGTATTATTAGGTACTCTTTTCCGGGAGCAAACAATAGAAAAAAAAATCAGAACCAAACAGTCAATCCACTGAACTTGCTTCTCAGACTTTGCACGTATCTGTGGCTTTTCGCCCGCGATTGACCCCTACATCTAGTACGGTTGCAGAATGTAGACGCTTCAATTCTTTCTACATGAACCGATTCGCAGGAAAAATTGCGCTCATGGCCTAGGGGAAGGGTATAGCGTTAAAGAACTCCCTGTGCAGAACTGGTATCTCCGCAGTGAAGATGACGGCTTTTGCTAAAGCCTCTAAAAGTAGGGGTCAGCGAGTGATTTGAAAGACGATACTTCCATCTAGATAGGATTAGTACCACACATGTTTGAATAGTCCACGAAGTGCCACTTCCCCACCCCTCCACCCTCCCATATTTGTACCGTCGAATTTAGTAAGAATGGTTATTGCAAGAGTGCTGAACTGAGTTGAGGGAAAACTCAGCCCTGGGCACCATGAACGATGGCTAGTTTTCGCCCATGATCGAGCATCGGTTAATCTTGGCATAGTTATGGTCCTGTTCGCTTTGGAAGCTGGGGCGTGTCAGGGAGGGGGATAGCTTTGGCCAGCTTGTCCAGTAGTTGTTGGAGCTTACCCGCTGTGGAGGACAGGGCGGAGCCGCAACGAGCCCAGCCTCATTTACACGCCCCAGCGTCCGTCCGGAATAAGATGTGTTGTTTTTACTACTCATATCAACCAAATGTTCGTGGGCGAAGGGCAGGACCCCTGGGGTGATGGCTCCATAATAGATGGAGTTTTAAGAGAAGGTGGCTACCATTTCATGTTACCGTAACTTGCTGCATAACGCCATGTTCCTATTAGAGGGTTACTACACCGTCTCGTATTTCTAAACAGTTCATATGTTCCAGCAGCTTTCAACTGGGGACTCAAAAGATCAAGTGATTTCAGTTTACGAAATGAGAAATAAGCTATGGAAGGCATTGAATGGATTGGTTTGTGTCTATAAGCCCGTGGACTTGTCAATTAGTGGATTGAAGAAACAAATGATTAAACGAATATGTGCTGATGCGAACGAAGTAGTGGGAATGCCTCGACTTCCTACGACAAAGATACCGATAGTGGAACCACATGAGACCAGTGGAGCGTTGCTGGTAGTAGGAGAAAAAGAAATACAGGATTATACGTGAGGAGCTTATATACGCCAAGGCCCACTGAGTATCAGTGATGTTCATCATGTTCCAGGATGCACCCTCTAGTATGTGGCGAAGCATTCCGGCCTGAAGACATCAGATTGGAAGAGGTTCATTATATGGAGAGCACTTCATCCGGTGTGTGCGGTAGGTTGACACCGTTCCTCCTTAAATTTATGTCTCCTTTCAAGATCTCTGGAAGGAATTAGGATAATGTTTTCGACTGCCTGTCCCTCTCTCACTGGGGATCACTGCGTTCCTATTTTCAGACACTGTTCTTAGGCGAGAGAGATCAGCATTTCCTGTGAACAGAGGGAACTTAAGCTGAAGTTGTGCGATACAGTCGTGGAATTCATATTTAGTCAAATAAGTTCCGGACGAAGGCGTGTCAGGCGGCAAGCCCGTTTTCCACTAGTTGTTGAAGAGAGCAAGTAACAATACAATACTATGTCGTTTGTATCGCTCGTTTTCTACCAGTTGTTGTCGATTCCCTCTTTAACAACTGGCAGAAATCTGACTCGGCGCCGTGGAACACTCTTACTGCCTGACACGCTCCTTCATCCGTAGTGAACTAGAGTATAGTATGTTCGGGTCGTTGGTGTAATTCCTCCACATCTACTCAGCCCTCTCACTAACCTTATCCTCTCCCTCTCGTTAACTTTACTTTTTTCGTAGTCTTCTTATCCTTCTTTATCTGTGCTTCTTCATTGCAATATTTATTGGATAGATGTGGCCCAACCAGGTCGCATAAGCTTGACGATCTTGCTTGATCTTCCATTGCTTCCGCTTGTTTTCATGATTCTTCCCTTGCTAAAAATTCAACTGATAAGTGTTCTTTATTTCTGTAAGCTCCCTTCTCTTGCTTTATTCGGAACGGCTCTTTTCGAAGCTATTTGCATTGGAGGGAACCGTCAGAACTCTGGGTTATCTTAGAAGTTTAGTTCAAAAATTTTCATGAAAAGTTCTTAAATGATTGCACCTGTTCTCCCAGTTTTACTTACTGGATCACGTCGGAGAGTAGCCCCCACAGACGACTTAGGCAGTTCTTACTGTAGTGGTATATACATATGTCTTGGTGGGAGTCTCATCGAAGATATCTTCCTTGAGAAGAGGTCGGAGCACCACAGAACTGAAGGGAAATCAATTCAGCGCTTCGACACTATTTGATGGAGATCCGAAGGCGCAGCATCGAACGCTGCTACATTTCTATCTACTTAACTTGACAAAGCAGTCTTGGCATCACATCCAGGGCCACCAAATGGGTCTTATGTTATACCGTTAGTTGCAAAGACAAACTGTCCACTGTTGTAGCTGCGGAACGACTCATTCGGTACATAATCGTTACCATGTCCAAAATGAGTTGGTCCGCCTGCATAGCGTGTCACTTTCCCCGTTCGGAAATGCACCGGAACTGGGCTGTAGTGTGGGTGGTACTCATTGTCTTCTCCCTACTCCGCCCGCGCTATCCCTAAGCGGCAGTACTTGCATTGATACCAAGAACCCGCAGCGGCAGCTTCCAGCTGTAGAGAGCAACCAGAAGTGAGGGAGTGCAGACAAGTAGCGCTTTTGGCTATGGCTGGACGTCTGGATGGTCGCGCAGCGGCGCCAGCGGAATATGGAGAATGGGCTCTGGTATCATCACCCTCCTACACCTGCGAATGCTAGTGAAGCAGATGTTATTTAAAAGTAGGAGCCGCTTCCGTGCGCGCGTCGCGCGTTCCGCGTCGCGGCGTCAGCGAGTGGAGCGCGACGGCGCCCTTCCCACTTATAAATAACATCTTGCGGGACGGGAGAGTTCCGCTATATCCGTCCACATCCTTGTTCTGCAAGCTATTAGGGGGACCACTTCCCAGTTGTCCAGGCTCCCGTGAGAAATCGACGGAGCGGCCCGTGGGGCGTATTTCCAGCCACGATCGTTTTTATTTGCGTCACGGATGTTTCAGCCGATTAAGGACTATTGCACGAGTAGATTTCATTGCTATGGACAACTAAGAAAACCATCAAGTATATTGTTAGTTGCGTCAGGGGTGATATTCGGGAGTATTGCCAAGAAAATGAGAGGTGATAAGGAAAGATTCAATCAACTGCTGTTTCATGCCTTTCTGGCTGTTCTTATTCCATTCAGTTATACGTGTTTTTCAATTCCTACAGAAGAGCATTTTCATGATGTTAGCTTGGATTCCGATTAGGCGGCGTTTCAAATATTTGTTTTTATTTCTTTCTCTTTCGTGCACATTACCGCTTGTCATGTAATAATAAAGATGTCGACAAACAGCACGGGCGTTGAACTTTCAAAATATTTCGGGTTTTTCTTTTTGGAAAACTGACGATTCAGATACGAAACAGCGGATTCATGTAGCACGCCGTGAATAGTAGTTCCCTGGTCGCGATGCAACGTAAGCCAGTTTTCTACCGCGTGTTGTGGTCCATTCACTTCAATTACCTGAAAACGGGGGTGGGAGAAAGTGCAAAGAAACACGCAACACTTATGGCGATTTATAGAACGGAGAGGATTAATCTTTCTCATAACTTTCTCAGTGTGAGAACTCGTCCAACCACGCTCTTCCTTTGTGCACGTTTAAGCACGGTTCAGCATGGGCCTGATATGAGCGTGATTCGGTGCTGATTTTTTTCCGCTTTTCCGATTTGCTATATTGAACTCCACAATCCGTGAATTTCGAAGCCTGAATGTATCTTTGAACTAAATTGCAATCACAGTCGTGATCGAGTTAAAAGGGCACACAATGCAATCAAAGGTCAGAAACTGTTCTTAAAATTGCACAGCTGTCAAAATAGTAGGGTATTTAAGCGAGAATATGAATCGCACTGTTGTTTTATTGCCCATGCGTATTCCAAAAATTATGAACATCGCCGGTATCAGCTACAGACTTAGAGTTACATTTATACTCAAAAGATTTTAGAGTTTTGAGCCATTCACTTTTGAACCAGGATCAGGTTTTTAGTCAGTTGAGAGGGGTAATAGGCAGGTGAAAAGTGTGATAAAGGGGACGAAGTCAAACAATATTCCCTAAAATTCCAAATATCACATTTTCGCATCTAACATTGGTCTGACACAGCCATAATCGTAGCGCGCTTATCAGTCATGGGTAAAGATCACTCTTCGTCCGTTTCCTCTGTCGGTGATTTCGTGGAAACGTCGAGCTATTTGTGGTAGTTACAGTAATTCAAATAGGACTAGATATGAGATGAGTGGGCTTATATGGTCTAGCTAATACGTACTCAACTTATTGGTGAACCGAAAACCGAACCCTCTTCTTACATAGAGGAGAACACTGTTGGAATCCACTAGCTCCACCGCCAAGGGCGCGCTCCACTCGCTGACGCCGCGACGCGACCGCGACGCGCGCACGGCGGCCTTCCTACTTTTAAATAACATCGCTGAAAGCACCGCACATACGACAAGAGCGAGGATCCACAGAGGTGAGTGTACAGTTTGTCTTGACGTCTACCATCACTGCCAGATCAGTTTCATTCAACGGTTTAACCTCGAAACTTAAAACTGTGGGGTAGCATTTTTATTGTTTGTCAGATTCACTGAAAAGTATCGTTAGATAAGCGGTGTACGACATAGACTGCGGTGATATATAGTTGATTTGACGTCGAAATGTTTGTCGAGTCGACTAGCTAGGAGTACTGGCTGGCTCGCGCGCGATGCCGCTTCTCGGATGTCCCGACCTGCGCTCCTAGTCGATAAATAGCTGATATTTCTGAATTTTTGAGATTTCTGGTTGTTATACAATGAAATGCCCACATGTGGTGACAGTTTTCATTCTGTTTAGTTTTTGCACTAAATGACGAGTGTGAGAAGATTCCGGAGATCCAGTCCCGTTCTTGGGTGAATAACTACCGATTAGAAGGTGTTTTCGGTCGTGAGACGGATCAGCACAAAATAAAGGCACGGGTTACATTAAAAGTTGATTACGGTATGTTGCGCTTTTCACTCTTTTGTTTCTTCTAGATACTTTTGGCAATAATCCAATTAGTAGCTTTTTGAATTTAGACATCTGCATCTTTCCATCTTTGTTTTGCCGGTATAAATTACTGGGTGTCAAGATATTTTTGAATGTATTCAGGATTTCGAATGCACAGTTTCTGACTGGTGAAATAGTGACATAAAAGGGCTCGGCTAGAAAGAAAGCATGCAACTGCTTGAAAAGTTATTGCTTTTTCAGACCATGTCACTCGCCACAGACTGGAAAAGCTTATAGCTAGAGTTCTCTCAGAATATCGGAAGATGACATTCCAAGCTGCTGAAGTTGATATACAGGTGATTTAATTACGGTAATTGTACCCTGGGATAATCGAAGACTGTAATATGTGAAAATGAAAAAGTGCATTTGATTTTTTTCCACATTCTGAACCCATAACCGTTTTTCAGAGTGAAGCAGCTTTCGAACTTGCACGCAAAGGGTTGCCGAGAGCGCAACTGGCGGGGGCTCAGATCGTTTATATGTGTACTGTTAAACATTTCAACTTACCCTACTTTGCCATCCAAGTACAATGTGTAGGGGAAACGGATGCGTTTCTGAGGTACGGTTCATGTGCTTACTTCAAAGATACTTTACATAATTGTTTTGTAACACTTCAAAAGTGCGCTTGTGTATTTGGTGGGAGGGGGGATCGGTCAGTGAGACGAAAAGTTTGTATGCGACAAAAAAACCATGTAATAGATCATACTTTCGATATGGTTTCACAGCATAAATAGGAAAACTTATCATGCATGCTCACAGGGGAGCGTGGGCTCTTTCTTGAAGGCTTGTTTCACTATTACAACTTATGGGTTTTTTTGGATCGGCATTCAAATTTGTAAATGTTGGATGAATGGGCTTTTGGATCCAAATACGAATTTGTAAATGTTGATAGACGCAACAATTAAGAAAGTAGCAGGCAAAAGCGAAGATGTCCCCTTCGCATTGGACGAGTGTTTCTTAATGCGAGACATTTCCGCGCTTCATAAAGACCAGAGGCAAAAGATGTGGGATCAGGAGGAGGAGATGGAACACAAGAGAGACGATGAGTTTGCCCCACGCAGGAGTGAAAACAAAGCAGCACCCCTCTGTTTGTAGATCTGAGACCACTGGCACATAGTCCCCTGATGGAAGGCCAGCTTTTGGGAATGACGTTCCTTCTGCTTTTGGCAACTGAATCCCCAACTTTGCTCACTATGTTCTGGCGGAAGTGGAAAAATATCTAATATTGCGGCTCGGACTGCGTGTAGGACGAGATTTGGCTGCCGGGTAATCTCGCGATGTGTATTCAGGAGTGGGTTTGTTAGAGAGGGGACCACTTCTTGGTGGTATGTGGACGCGCCTGAACAGGGTTCCCGCACTGCATAAAGTCGTCATCCGAGCAGATGATTATCCGGCCCAAATGACGCGACGCGGCTGCAGCGTGCGAACGCACTTATTTGTCGCCAGCGGCTGGTCCCACGCGCGCGCAACTTTGAATTCAAACGCGCTGTGTGCATGTGCACAACACTCTGAACACCGTAATCTCTCCTGGTCTATTATATACGAAGACGATAAATAAGACTAGTGTACTGAATGGATAACCTTATTTTCTCTTATAGTGGGTAAGCGCGCTGCTCCAGAGACACGGTGTCACATGCTGGAATCCACACAAGTTGATTATATCAGTTTTTCTAACATTCTCTTTTGACTACATTCTTTTTGCCCCTGCATGTTCCATCAGAACGGCGATCTCATAGGTGAGTTTTCACATTTCCTGAATTCTAATATTTGTGAATGCGTCGCCATTTTCTCCGTGCTTTCATTTTCGATCCCATTCTACATTACCCTTTCTTGAACCTGTCTTGCATGCACTTTATATATCCCCTTCACATTACCATTGCTTTGTGGCGTAGAGAATCATCAGGTTTCTGTCATGGCTTCCGAGATATTCGCGGTGAATGCAACTGTTTTACGCGAACCTTCGGAAAACCACGAGATGACCTGAGGTGTTGAGCAAAACTTCTTTAGGCAGCGTTCAGACTTTTAGCGCTACGCCGCGCTACAGCTGTAGCGCTACTGTACCGAAGTCCAGCTTCCATTTTTGTTTTTTTTTCTGAATTCAATCCCTTTCCCTTCATTTCTCATTTTATGTGTTCCTGAGCCCCTCTTCCTTTTCAGGGAGGGGGATGGGTGTGACGCAGGCGGGACGGGGGAGGTTGCGAGGGTCGTGATCACAGGGTTTAATATTGAGTTCTGTACGCCAGCGCGTGGGGTCGTGCACTAGCGCAGATGCGGCAGGAAATGGACGCACGCAGATGATTTCCACGCTTGTTCCATACTTCTTGGATAGTCCCATACCACGTGGAGCAGATGTTTATGCTCCCCTTTTCGCGTATTTGAGTTTCTATCAGCTTCGCTATTCACCGATTCTTCAGTATTGTAAGCTATGAACATGGCCTCGTGCCAAATGATAGGTGCACCTCCGCTGATTTGCTTAGAGAAGCTGAGAGCGAGCTCCTGCTCATTAAAAATTTAAAGCATTCTATGGTGAAGCTGATTTGCCGAACTTCTGATTAGCCGGAATCTCCTGCCTTTCTGCTTGTAGCTCTATGACCGCTACATTATATGGCCCACCACGAAGAGAACTTCGCCACGCTGGAAGAGAAATTTACAAGCACCATCGTAAATACGATTGGGTTACCCTCCATTTGTCGGGAAAAAAGGAATATGGGTAGAGCAAAGTCATCAGCCTTCGCATCATACCAAACGGCAGGCTGTTTGTAACAGTGAGTCACTGCCGTTCCAAAAGAAGTAGAAGTTCGAGTCTCTAGCACCGCTTCTCTTTGTCTCCATCAATTTGATTAAGTGGGCATGTTTGCAAAGTTCCAAAGAGACATGGTCTTTTATTTATGAGTAAAGTTTGTCGCGGGGTGTGATGGCATTGCCAGCAATTCCTGCCTCAAGACAGGTCTAGAATTAGAATAAGCTGAAATGGGTATGGATTCATTCAGAACAGTTATGTGAGATTTGTGGATGACACACTTCTGAAAAGAAATATCACTGTTTCATGTTTCTGACGCCTGTTGAGCGGAGTGGGGATGTTGAGAAACGACTTTTCAAAGAAAGCACGGCTTAACTGAGATGGATAAGCCTTCGCTGTAGAAAGTCGGCCCGTTCAAACAAATGGCTCTACAAACGCGAGAGTTTATCTCCACAGTTCGCCCTCTGCTAGTTTATAGATTCCATTCGCAATATATATGACAAGGAAGAAGTTGCACTACCAACATCTTTTTTGTGAAGCAGATAGCGCCTCCAGTCAAAAAGCCTCTGCTCCAAGGCCGCAGAAAAGCTCGTCCACCGAATTTTTACCTGTTGTGATTTAGCCACGATAAAATGCCAGTGGCAAAAAGCTCAAAAGAGATGTAATACGAAAAACTGATATAATCAACTTGTGTGGATTCCAGCATGTGACACCGTGTCTCTGGAGCAGCGCGCTTACCCACTATAAGAGAAAATAAGGTTATCCATTCAGTACATAGTTTATTCGTTCGTTCGTATATAATAGACCAGGAGAGATTACGGTGTTCAGAGTGTTGTGCACATGCACACAGCGCGTTTGAATTCAAAGTTGCGCGCGCGTGGGACCAGCCGCTGGCGACAAATAAAAGTGCGGTCCGCGAGCGGGCTGCCAGCGCGGCACGATCGCTGCGATCAGCTGTTGCAACCTTATTTAGCAAGCAATTTTCTACTAGTTTTCTTTTCGAAGGAGTCTTCACTGTTTTTGGCTGGTTTTTTGCAAAGGTATTGCATTTGCCTATACGGAAGATATATCATGGTGACTTTAATCATCTTTTTGGTTCTTGTAATGGATTATTCTCAGCGAATTTTCTAAGTAATTGTTCAATTGTATGTCCAAATCGTCATCTAAGTTGTGTCGCACTAAGTTGAGAAGAAAAACTGAATCACAATGTATGCTTAGTGAAGGCAACATACAGGAAAAGATTGACGTTAATAAAAACAGCCAAAGTGAAAAAGTAAGTGAAAAAATGAAGCTAACAACGGCCGAAAATGACGGTGATCGCGAACACAGTTTCCCTGTTGACCGCGGGTCGCTAGCTGGCAGCCGATCTTGGGCTCACTGAGACCCCCTAATCACTGCCTGCGATGAACGAGATGTCACTCCCTGTCACCTGTGCACTTCGAAAAGTGGTTATGAAGCGGTTTTGTTGTTATGTGAATTCAAATGTGTATCAAGTGAGCTGATTTCAAGGTGCTTCATTCATGAACTGGGTGTAAGCCTCGGAACGACTGCCAGCTGTGTACGATTACAGAGATCGTGAAGGTAGCTAGTGGCTTCATCTTCAGTTTCATTTCGAATTCATCTACTTCAGTTCGTGGAACGGGTCAGGCGTGTCAGCAGTAGGAGTGATGTCGCCGCCGTCAAAAGCGTTCTCGACTTCTTTTGAAGTCGCGCACTGCGACAAAAAGAACTTGCTAAGACCGAGTTATGCGACCGATAGATTACGTTATATAACCTGTGTTGCTTTGGAATACTGTGAGCTGAACGGGTTGCCCCACGCCAAACGAACCCGCCTGACACGCCTAACCGTCCGCAGCGAACACTTTATTACACCCTTTGATAGCACTATTAGAACTACTCGTAGCACAACGAAAAACGGTTAACCTTGCTCTGTGGTTCGTAAAAGTGGAGGTCCAATTGAGTTTGCGTTTATCTATCTGCAGAGACAGGGTGATCAAAATGAATGGACATAGGCCATCACCCTCGATCTTCATGCCGGGTGCGAAATCGGGCGTCACCCTTGCCGGGCGCTTTATCCCGCGTCTAACACCTCTTCACGAGAATTGTAGCTAGAAGTATGTAACAGCGCAACACTGTGACCCTGGCGGAAAAAAAACCGCGTTCTTTCAGACTGGTCTTCGAGCACGGCTCACTGGGATCATTTATCTAATATAGAAACAAAGAGATCCCACGAATTAGATTGCTTTTGTAGTGCGCATGTTATGAAAACTTTACAGGATATATTTGAAAGGTTGGCTCGATTAGATCGGGTGGCGGGCTCGCTGTGTATTGTAGTGAAAGATTCTGATCCGTGAATGGGAATAAATGTAGAAGTCATACTCCCGCCATTCTGTTCCTCGCTGCGCGCTGTTGCTGAATGCCAATAAAAACATACAAGTAGAGGTGTAATTCAGCCAATAACGAGTAGCAAGCACACTTTCTCAGAGGCACGGGAACGGGCGACGGGACGGCGCGCGTTGTTATACACAGGAGTAGTCTCTTCTGATTCCACCCGCGCTGCTTCGCAGCCGCCTCCGCGGTAACCATAACCGAAGGTGCTATTTGTCTGCGCCCTCGCATTTGTGGTTGTTCTTTATTGTTGAAACTTCGGGATATTGGTATGGATTGGTATGGACGCAAACGCTGTACCACGAGGATCTCGAGTGCGGAGTAAGAGAAACGGCACCCAGGATCACTGCCCGTCCCGTTTCAATGCATTGTTGAGCGGAGAAAGTGGCACGCTTCTGCAGCTGCGGACCCATTCAGCTCGCCCACGGAAGGGACTGTCCGAGGAAACTGTTCAAAATACGACCTCTCTGATAAATAACAAGAACCTTACCCTCTCGATGCGAGTCTACATCGAAAGTTTAATCCAATGCCAATGCACCCGTCTTGAAGCTAACTATGATTGTTTTCAGGAGCACCTTTGGTCCTTTCCATGCAAATCACGCGCTG